GGCAGGAGCTGGACCTGTGGGTCGAGTGACTATACTCAGGCTCAGGTTTCGGTGTCGTCGGGTCGCAAGTCGGGAGCGATCTGGATCGACTTGGGCAGGAGCTGGACCTGTGGGCCAAGTGACTATACTCGGGCTCATGTTTCGTTGTCGGCAGGTCACGAGTCGGGAGCGATCTGGAGCGACTCGGGCAGGAGTTGGACTTGTGGGCCGAGTGACTATACTCGAGCTCAGGTTTCGGTGCTGGAGGGTCGCAAATCGAGAGCGATCTGGAGTGACTCGGGAAGGAGCTGGACCTATGGGTTGAGTTACTATACTCGGGCTCAGGTTTTGGTGCTGGTGGGTCAAAAGTCGTGAGCGATATGGAGCGACCCGGGCAGGAGCTGGACTTGTGAGCCCAGTGACTATACTCGGGCTCAGGTTTCGGTGTCGGCGGGTCGCGAGTCGGGAGCGATATGGAGTGACTCGGGGAGGAGCTGAACCTGTGGGCCAAGTGATTATACTCAGGCTCAGGTTTTGGTTCCGGCGGGTCGCGAGTTGGAAGCGATCTGGAGCGACCCGGGCTGGAAATTGACTTGTGGGCCGAGTGACTATACTCGAGCTCAAGTTTCGGTGCCGGCGGGTCGCAGGAGCTGGAGCGATCTGGAGCGACCCGGGCAGGAGCTGGACCTGTGGGCCGAGTGACTGTACTCAGGCTCAGGTTTCGGTGCCAGCGGGTCATAAGTCGGGAGCGATCTGGAGCGACCCGGGAAGGAGCTAGACTTGTGGGCCGACTATACTCGGGCTTAGGTTTCGGTGTCGACGGGTTATAAGTCGGGAGCGATCTGGAGCGACCCCGGTAGGAGCTGAACCTGTGGGCCAAGTGACTATACTCGGGCTCAGGTTTCGGTGCCGGCAGGTCACGAGTCGGGAGTGATCTAGAGCGAACGACCCGGGCACGAGCTGGACCTATGGGCCAAGTAACTATACTCGGGCATAGGTTTCGGTGCCGGTGGGTCGCAAGTCGGGGGCGATCTGGAGCGACCCGGGCAGGAGCTGGACCTTTGGGCAAAGTGACTATACTCAGGCTCAGGTTTTGGTGTTGGCGGGTCGTAAGTCGGGAGCGATCTGGAGCGACCCGAGCAGGAGGTG